GACCTCTGGGTTATGGGCCCAGCACGCTTCCACTGCGCCACGCTGCTGCACACACAACGGCTCTCTTATTTAGTACAAGTTCTTCTTGTTCATTTCAAAGATATTGCGACTGGCTATGTCAATGCAAAATAATGCAAACATTCTAGTAGTTGCTTGCGATTACCCACTTCATAAATTAGCATTTGATGAGCAAAGTGAAATCAAAAAGATTAAAACAACGCTTGACTGCAAACAACTGAGATTTTCTGTTGAAGGGAATGCTGATCGTGAATAAAATGCAGTTGAAAAAACTGGCGATAGTGGTAAAATTTGGTGGTAAAATTTGGTTTTGATAAGCTTTCAATGACAGACGCTGAACTTGTGAAATTAGTTCAATCAGTGTTTCACCTAACCAGCTTTTAGTTTGATCAATCACCACCACCAGCATAAACCAGTATAAGTCAGAGAGTGTACTCGTAATAAAAGTTTTATTCGAAAAATAATATGTTTATTAAATAAAATAAATAATGATCACACAACCAGAGCTCAATTCGATGAAATTATTTTCCATAATCTGTGTTGAGATCAGTGGAAAGCAAAGCTCATTTACAGTTGAGAGTCGAATTCATCAAATAATCGTTTTTCCATCTGCAGACGCTTTAACTAGCAATCGAGCAATCACGCAATGACCATACTCATCCTGGATCAAACGATTTGATCTCACCGCACATTTCGCTAATTTACTGAAATGTTCATTGTTGAAGCGCCTCAGCCCTTAGCTGCGGAAGATTCATATTTCTGATTAACCTCCATTAAATGACCACAACCTTTAGAATTACTCACTGATTAACAAACCGAAGCAATTCACAAGACCGAAACTCCCCCGAAATGATTTAACCAGTCCATCCAACTCAAATAATTCAGCTATGCATCGCCGCAAGCAAGTAATCCAAACTGCTTATGGAAAAACGTAAATGAGATTGTCGTCAAGACAGAAACAAAGTCAAAATAAGTAATCTAATGAGATTTCAACGGTGGATAAGTAGAATCACAATACTGTAAATTACTAACAGCGATATCAATACCGAAATGCCATTGCAATCGCAACAATGCGATCTTGCACACAACAGAAAAATGAGACAGGAATAAAATCAAAAAAACAACAACAGAAAACAACTGAAATTAGAAAATCTTATATCTGCAGGAATCTTCAGAGATCTTCAACAGAGTTACAATGCAATAAATATTACACAGACAAACGAACAACAGATATTTTTGAATTTTGAAAAGTATTCAATTTCAGCCATATTATTTGGATGGTAATAACTCAGTTCGACCGCAAAATATCAAACTGAAATTTGAATACTGCTATTTTTGATATGAATGACAAATATTAATGCAAATAAGTTAGTTTATATTAATAACAATTCATTCTTTCGTTTCAGTTAATTGATTGTGTAAAGGAGAATGTTTTGGGATCGATACTGATTAAGGATGACTTTTAGTGACTCTGATTTGATAATAAAAGTGAACTTCTCCTTTTTTTGAACCACTGATACGATATAATGAAGCAATTTGTTCAGATAGCACAGAGCTGCTAAAAGGACTCGATAAAAAAACAAAAACAAATAGCAACAATCAACGAGTGAACGGCTAAAGTAATCACAAACTAACCCGAAATGAGAATCTTCTTGATCACAACTGAGACTACCTAATTCAAAGATTCATTGAGACAAATAGATTTGGCAACAACATTCCTAAGAGCATCAATCAAGATGATGATAATTATGATAGAAATGGTGCTAGTAACAGCACCAATAATATTGTACTAATGATTACGGTGAATAACATATTAACATTTACGAAAAAATCCGTGAAAACAATGCAAACATTCGCAGGAATAACAATACTAGGAATAGGAATGACTATAATAATGATAAGATACAATTTGATCAGTGGTTATCACATGATTGGATTAATTTTTGGATTTTCTTTGACATNGGGGGGGGGGGGGGGGGGGGGGGGGGAGGACGAGACACGTTACCTTTTGGATGACGGTAAAAGGCTTGCACAAGGCCGGAAAGAAGTACAAATTAAGAGAACGTTTGAACCACTGATACAGATCCTCTTTATAGACAATTTTCGATGATAACAATATAAACTATTGACTAATGGTTAACACGATTATTTGATGACAAATATTGAATGAATATATTGCGATGACATCTGACTGACAGGAATGAGAATACTGATGAGATTTTAATCGTTACTGAGAATCATTTTTCGGTTTTCCAGATGAACGAATAAGTCCCTCTTGTGTGCTTGACAATATCAACTTGCCATCTCTCGTCCAGAGTCGTCCTTCTATGAAACCTCGACTGCCACCTGAAATCAGTTCTTTTCCTCTCTGTTTGAATTGCCAAGTCAGGGGTCTTCACTAAGTGATGATAACTATTTAATGAGGAATTTTAGCGTGTCAAGGGAGAGCTTCTAACGGCGAC